ATATAATAATATACATAGCTGAATTTCTCTTCACCTTATGACTGAAACTATTCAACTATTGAATTGTGGCTTACTCAACAAAATTCTGCTCCTATGCTATCTCAAGTTGGTTTGTTTAGTAACAGTCGAAATTCAGAATGTCTTCTGTAGAGTAACATCCAGTGGCAGATGGCCTATAAGAGCTTTGAATCACAAAATAATTTAATGATCATTCAAGACAAAGTTTTAACACCCATGATCTGCATCATGCTGAGCACTGAAGATGCAGTTGTGAATGCGAGATACACACCCCATGACCTCATAAAACACATTTGTACAAACATGTAATCACAGCTGTGTTACTGTGATTCCTCAAAGCAACAAGCCTCCTAAAAGTCAATAATGACTCATGAAGAAGTGACATGAGTGTACTATACTTCATCTAGATTTCACATTCTTTGCAGGACTTTCCTTGGGTCCCTTTCCTAGTACCATCCACAACCATATTTCGTATATGGAAGTTGTTCTAACCAAGTTTATGCCATTAGCTTTTTCCAGACTATGCCATCCCATCACCACTCTACCCATTTATTCAGGTTGTTTCCTTAACCAGAAAAGACTTTTCTCTTCTTGTTTCTACCACCACTCCCCACATCCCTGTGACTCCTCCCTCTTCAGCTCTAGTTCATAAAATCCCACTCAGCTGACCTCAATTAAAGCACACCTCCTCTATGGCTGTTTTGACTTTGTCTCATTTGTCCTTAATCATCTCTCTTCTGCCTTCCCCTAGTATCTTAAGTGCATCACTACTTTTAGGATTGGAGCATCTTATTCTTTCGGAGGTTAGCTACATCTAACTGTCTCCAGTTACAGGCTTTTTCAGTCTGTCAGCTTTTAACATGTATAGTCAATAATTTTATTTTGAGCAAATGAATTTGAAAGCCGACTTTCCTGAGTAGTACTCTTTTTATGATTTCCAATACCTTCCACTGAGAAGTAAACATATTCAGAATCCATGATTGTCAATAAAAGATGGTCTATTGACTCTGAAACAATGTCACCACAGTGGTGATGAGTGGAGCTGTAACAAAGTGAAGCATCTGGATATTCATATTTATAGAACAATGTCACAGGGATATTCTGCATAAGGTTGCAGTTAATAAAAGTAAGGTACTAGGAGGGTCACTTGCTTTCCGAGACCATGCATGCTCCACTTCTGGTTAAAATCCGCTTTAGGGATTGCTTTCATAGGAAAAGGCAGCTAGCTAGCTAGCTTGGCTCATTTCACTCTTCAATATTTTTCATATTAGACAATATTAAAGAAACAAAGAAAAGCAAACAAAAGCTAGTATATCTCACACCTAACACCTAAACAAATATTTGGAAACCTTTGAAAAGAGTCAAATGTTAATTTTAGGCTCAAAAAAGACAATACAATAATACTTTAAATAAAATTGCCCATGCAATAGAAACCAATCAGGGAGAAAGAGAAACTCAGAATATAAAAATAAAACCTCACAGCAAGACAGAAGTCAAATTGTATAGATAGTAAAAGGGAAAACCAAAACAAGAGAAGAGTGAAAAAACAGAGAGAAACTTCAGAAAATTTCTGTGGGGCGAGGGAAAGATGGAAATTAAAAGGAAACAGGCTGATCATATTTCATAGATTTCTTGATTTGTTTAGTTAGACATTTTAAGCATATCCCCAAGGAGAAGACTGGGAGAAGCACATACCACTAATTTAATTTTTCTAATTTTTCTTGTTTAGGCCACATACCAGGGAAGAAACGATTGGCTCACCCTTGCAGTACTGATTCCCCAGTCACATTTCTGACCATAAATGTACGGTAGTTTTAACATTGTAAGAATTCTTAAAAGATTATTTAAATATTTGCATTTCTCAGGCTACATTTATATTGCTTGAACTGAGGATCCTTAACAATAATCTCAAAGCCATAATTGAAAAATAACCTATAATCCAAAATGCTTGAATTGTTTATAACAATTCCACAATTCAGCATTGTAATTAAAATCCATGGAAAAGTATGGCTTTGGGGGTGGAAGAAAGATCTAAAACTCTGTAACACTTTCAGTAAGAAGTTTCTCATTCTTGGTCAGGGTGCGAGGCACATAAAACTTCACTAGACTAACCCTGTGATCTATTTAATTGTGTCTGTTGATCTCATTCCATGCGCACAATCTTTGGAGTCACAGAATTGATTATGATATTTTCTGCAGGCTGTGAAACTGATTGTAGGTAAAGCAATACCACCATGAAGTCCTAGGGTACACAGTGATTAATCCCCCTGGAAGAGTCCCCATGCAGACCCAACCTGTACTTAAATCTGTAGTTCATTAAATAAGGGTTTAGTGTAATACAGCGAGAAGGAATGACTGAGACAGACCAGGTCTTGTGATTCGCTTGCCTGATTCTGAGAAAAACTAAAGGCAATGAACTTTAAATCAAGTATGTTCCCGTATTATCTTTTTAAAGATTACCCTCCTTAGGCCTCATTGTAACATTTACAGGGTGCAGGGGCATGAACACAATAAAGTTCCATATAGTGTATTTCTAAATACTTAAGCATCATTAGTTGAGCAGATGCAACATTAAAGAAATTATGTTCTACCCTTCTACCTTGGAAGTCCAAATTTCAGTTTAGAATGTTTAGACTGAGTGTTTAGAGGCTGACAAGATCAGAAAAAATGGGCATTGACTTCCCCGATGTTACAGCTCATATCCAGATGTCCCGCAAAGGCTCATGCAGTCATAAATAGGGGTCTTCAGATGTGGCTGGATCATGGGTGTGTGGTGCTGGGATTAAGGATGTGGTGCTGGGATTAAGGATGTGGTGCTGGGATTAAGGGTGTCCCACCCTGAGTATGCGTGGCACCAATCAATAGGCTGACAGCCCGGACAGAATATAAAGGGACAGAAAGAAAGCTGCTGCTGCTGCTTGTCTGCTGCTGCTTGTCTGCTGCTGCCTCCTCCCTGCCCTGTGATGCCCCTCTACCTTGCCTTGGAGCCAACCGATTATGGACTGGAACATCTACAAACTGTAAGCCAAAGCAAACCTTTCCTCCTTTAACTCATGTGTGGGTATTTTGTCTCAGCAAAGAGAAAAGTAACGAAGACACCTGACCTTCTTGCTGAACATGCCAAATTCTCTCTCACACAATCTTTACAAGGTCTGTTTCATTTGTCTGAAATACCTGTCTGCCTCCCTGCACTTCTTCTCCTACTAAAACCTTCCTTGTCTTTCACATTGTAGTGAAGCTACTCATGCATGGCAAATAGTCGGTGCTCAATGAACACTTGTGAGCAGAAGAATTAGAATTATTTCTGGGACATTTTAAAAATAAAGATTTCACACAGACCCCTCCCACAGATGTCTTTAATCAAATACTACAACATGTTAAAGACTAACTTGATATTAATTTTTCAAGTCTTATATACTCCTATTTCAGCTTTGTTTCTGTAGCACATTTTCATGTATGGGATTTAAAACTATAAGGTGAAACTATTTAAATTTTAAAGATCTGTTACAGTAAAATACACATTGATGTGAATCCTCCTCAAAACACTCCCCCTCCCATTGAACACACTTAGCCCTTGTTCCTGTCACATTGTGAGGCTGTTCTGGAAGTCCTCTCTAGTGAGTGTCTTTCTAAGGAATGGTCAACGTATATGAATGCCACTTTCCAGTGCCATCCAGTAGATAGGCAGACTTGTAAAAATATTTCACAGTGTCTTCATCCACGTATTCACTGGGAGTGGCGCCCTGCAACTTGTGGCTCTTCCTCGAAGTCGAGTTGACTGTGAAAGTTAAACATTTTAAATCTGTTCAGGACATCGAGCCAGCCATGATAGTGTAACGAACAACATGAAAGAGGACTTCCAGAAGTGCTTCACAAAGTGGCAAGAATGATGGAATAAATGTGCTGAAAGCAAGGAAGAGTATTTTGGGGGGATGTTGATGGGAATATGTATTTCACTGTAATAAATTTTTAAAATTTAAATGTTTTTGACTATACCACATACATAATTTGTTCAGTCATGTTCTGAGGTAAAATTTGCACATAGTAATATTAACTCTTCTGTTTTAAGGATTGAACACAAGGTCTTAGTGAGCTACATTCCAACCCTTTTTAAAATTTTTTTATTTGAGTACAGAGAGTCACAAGTTGCTAAATTGCCCAGGCCAGGATCAAACCTGCAATCCTCCTGCCTCAGCCTCCCACAGGATTGTGATTACAGGCAAGAACCATGATGACCAGTTTATTAACTCTTTTTTGCCGTAGTTATTGTGACCATTAATTGTGATTGTTAACTTGATTTGTTAGAGAGACTCCTAATAGATTAAAAAAGTACATTTCTGGCTGTATCTCAGCAGATGTTGGAGACATGACCTTGGGGACTCTATCTGGTCCCTGGCCTCTTCTTCTCTGGTGCAATTTCCCTGTTCTCTGCTTCCCGGTGACATCAAGTGAGTGGCTAGCTCCACCATGCCATTTCACCAATATGTTGCTGATTTGGAGCCAGGCAACTGTGGACTGAAACCTCTGAAACTATGAGTCAAATAAACTTCTATTCTTTTAAATGCTAGTGTTGGATATTTTATTCCAGCATTGAGAAAGCTGATTTATACCATACTATAATTGTTTACAAATTATATATTTATATAACAGCTGTAAGACTCAAGACAGAGGCTCACAGTATTTTGGATGTAGCTTTCTTTTGGTGTTGTTACATTTCAGTAGTGCTACTTGTTTAAACACAGGTCTTAAATACCAGATTAAAAATTCCTTGAGAGCAGAAGCAGTATCCACTTTTTAAGGCCTCAAAACCTGATAAATATGTATTGAAAAATGTGTCCATAGGTCAACTGATATATTTGCATAATAAATGTGGAACCCTATACATTAGTATAAAACATAAATTGGTTAAATCACATGAAAATCAGTGGTTCTCAATGTGTCAAAACAAGTCCCACCAAAAATATATGAAATTCAGTGCTTACCATCCCCCGTCTCTGCACAGAGCTGTAAGCCCAAATTGTTCTGTGGATCAATCACCCAGTGATTGCTGGTCACAGTGATATCAAAGACAAGCCAACCCACATCTAAAGCTTGGGCCTTTCTTGTATCTAACAGGAACAAATCTGCATCCCTAAGGAGAAAAAAAATAAGTTAAAGGTTTGAATGAAGATCATCATTTCCTATACTTAAGTAAAAACATTTCCAAAGCAGTCTGTAAAATAACAGGAATTGATTAAAGAACAAGGGGAACAAGTGACTCAAGTGATGAGTAATAAGATACAGAGTGCTGTATTGCTGGTCTCCCAGCCCAAACCTGCTGCAGATTAGTAATATCTGAAAGTAATTTCCACTTTATTGCCTCTCACTGGCCTTTCCAAACCTACAGAGTGATCTTACTTTGGTCCCAGTCATCAGTGTTCCCCAAAACCACGCTGTGTAAGTAGTTCCAAAACAAAGAATCAAAACAAATGAGACAGAAATGAAAGGAGCTGCTCCAGTTTGCATGAATGTAAACTCTCAAAAGAAACAAGCACAAGCAGGATATGATTCAAATGCCTGTTTTAAGGATAGTTTCCTAATGTTTTCCATTTACACAATAATTATTTTATGGATACCAAAGGCCAAGAGAGGGTCACAGAAAACACCACTGGATTAAGGAATAAGTCTCATGATTTGAGTGGTACAGTGTGCCATGCCTTGCTTTAACTTTTTCTGCAAGTCTAAGTCACCTGGGGAGAGTGGTGGCTGTGAATTTGAACTTGTGTATTCTAGGGTGATTTGCAGTGTTATGTTTATTAAGATATATGAACGTATTTTGGAATCTTAATTTTAGCATAAACTTTACACAGGTAAGAATACTTCTAAAATTACAATGAATTGTTTTATTGTTTCCTTCCTACAGGCAGTTTCTGATCTCACTGTTACCTGTTTTTGACCTTTGAGTTTTTTTGTTTCGTTTTGTTTTGTTTTGGTACTGGGGATCGAACTCGGGTCTTTGCGCTTTCGCAGCAGGTGGTGAAACCACTGAGCTAAATCCCCAGCCCAGACCTTTGAGTGTTACATCACATCTTCCGTATTAATGAAGTTAAAGCTCAGATAGGTTAATTGTAAAACACTGAGTTCCTTTGAGGTGAGGCAGAAATAACACAGTAATGAATTTTGTGAGATTTATATTATGCTGAATCTATGTAAGAGCATATTATTTATATAGAGAAAACCCAAAGTTATGTCATAAGTTACGTTAAGTACTACTTTACAGTTGTCATCCATCTACATCACAAAATCACTTCAAAGATGGCTCACAAAAGGTAAGAAACAAATTTTGAACTCATTATACATATACATCATGTTTATAAAAACACACTAAAATTGAACTATTCTTAACAGAAATGAAAGTTTAAAAAAATCTAGTGTAGTCAAGGTTTCAGAAATACCATTTATTTCTTTATTTTAACTTGACTTATACTGTTTTTCATTAACCTAGAGAAACTAAAATAAATGCAAAATGATTAATTGTATCATCTAACTTTCTATAAAGAACAAGGCAAGTTTTACTCTTCTTTCACAATCTCAGTCATATTGTTTACTAGAGGAAGTCTGCAGATGTTTCTTTTCAAATATGATATGGAACAAGGTTGCAACCATACAGTACAGAGCAATGAAAAAAAAATCATCTATGTCCCACTTGAATTTTAAGGTGCCCCTACAGTTATAGCACGATGCAATGTTAAAAAAATTCTGCTTTTTCCTCTAAATTTCAAAAGTCCACCAGATAAACAGAATGCAAGCAAAGTATTCTCCTTAAAGTTGTGAAGTAATTTGGTAAATATCTCTGAGAGTATAATTTCACAGTTAAGCACACTGCCCACTTCTGGAACAGAAAAAAGAGTCACTTTGTGGCCTGGGTAGTATCAGAGTAAAGTTTAAAATGCTATCCCATGACATGCTTTTCTACATCTTCCTAACATGTTTATGAGTACCAGTTTTGCTGGGTGTTTTTAGGGCAGAACATCAGCTAAAGGACTCAAGCAAGCTCTAAATATCTGAATTTCAGCAATGCAAATTGCAGTTCATTCAAAGGTAAATCTAGGAAGCAATATGGCATTTTAAGTCCATGTACTCCTACCTGATCTCTCAAAATTTATGAAAGTTCTGTTGATTTGTAAACTATCATAATTTCCAATTCTTGGGCAAATATCTTTCTGACTGATAATTTCTCCTTGCTCCTTTAATATAAAAAAACCTCTTCTATATTCCCTACATTTAATAGTATAAGCTTTAGGAGTGTCAAATCTATTACTAATGAACACAGTGACAAAGATTCTGCAGTAACCTGTTATGATGCAGGAATGCTGGTGCATCTGCAGAGATGCTTTATAGGGCAACAACCAGTCAGAAGCAAGGAGAACTGAATAGCACTCTCAAATTGGCTACTTGCAAACCTCCCTGTAAAAAACAATTACAGAGGATATTTGCAGTTTCCCTGAAATTGCAGAGGTTTCTATGAACAATTATTAGTTAGATTCCAGGGAAAAATCTGCAAACTCTGAACTGTGACTTCGTGGGGGTTTACTGTACACTATTTCCAAGATATAGCAATTATAAATTCTGCTGCTATAAATATACATGTCTGGCAATAAAATGATGACTTTAACCCTTTTGGGAAGAATTCTAGGAAGAAGATAGCTGTATCAAATGGAATTTCTCTATTTAACTTTTTTAAAGTATCTCCACATTGATTTCCATAGTGGTTGTCCTAGTTTACATTCCCAGCTACAATACTGAAGAGTTCCACATTCCCCATGTCCTCACCAGCATTTGTTATTATTTGGTTTTTTGATGATGGCCATTCTTTCTGGGGTATGATGGTATCTCACTATAGTTTTAATTTGCATTTCTCTAATTTCCAGAAATGTCAAATACTACTTTATGTGTTTATTGCAGATTTGTACTTCTGGGATGTGTCTGTGCATTTCAGTTGCCCATGTTTTGATTAGGTCTTTTATTTTGGTGGGTCTAAAAATTTTAGTTCTTTTTATATTCTAGATGTTAGTCTTCTGTTCAATGAATCTTTTATTTTACATGATTATATCATGATAATGTATTTTCCTTATATTCAGGCAACAAGAAATGCTAACATGTTTAGTAGCATACCATGCTTGCCATGATGGATGTTTGAAATGTTACTTTGGTGTCTAGCCAGCTGCATAAATGGAGTGTTTTCATTAAAAGATTTTAAAATATGATCAAGAATGTAGGATGTGAAGTCAGCTATGCTGTGATTTTTTAAATTAATTTTATTGGTACATTTTAGGTATACAATGTAATGACATTCATCATTGGAAATTTGCACCTTTACATAATCTTTCTTGCTTATTTTTAACTCATTCCCCTGTACTCCCTTCAACCCCTCCATCCCTCCTGATCTACAAAGACTTTGTTTTCATTTTCTCATATTAATTCCATTCCCTTCTTTCCTTTCCACTACCCCTCCCACTTCCCCTTCCACTTTGCCCCTTTTCTTCCTATTTCACATGATCTATTATACCTTTTAGTCCTTATTTACACTTTCAGTTTCTCAAACTAGAGAAACTATTTGGTATTTACACATGTGTGTCCTATTTATTTCCCTTAAAGAATATTGCCTCAATGTGCATTTATTTAGCTATAAATGTCTCATTTTTTATGGCTGAGTAGTACTCCATTTTATCAAGAAAAAAACCCCCACATTTTCTTTATCCAGTCTCCAGCTGATGGGCAATTGGGCTGCTTTCAAGTTTTGGCTATTACAAACTGTGTTGCTATGAACATGGGTGCACATATATCACTGTGGTATGATTCTTTTAATTCCTTGGGGAAGACACCCAGCAGGGGAATAGCTGGGTCAAATGGGACTTCCAGTCCTAGTTCTTTGAGTTATCTCCAGACTGATTTCCTCAATGGTTGCACTAGTCTACACTCCCACCAGCAGTGGACCAGTGTTCCTCTTTGCCCACAGCCCCTCCAGAATTTGTCATTGGTGGATTTCATGATGGCAGCCATTCTTTCTGGGGTGAGATGGAATCTCAGTGTTGTTTTTATTTGTGTCTCTTAAATGGCCAGTGATGTTGAACATTTTTTCATATGTTTATTTGCTATTTCTACTTCTTTGTC